GAATCAATATAACTATAAAAATGTAAAGAAATGACAAATTAATTTAAATGCAGAAAGAACCATCTTAGTAACAAAGTTTTTAAGAATCTACATCTCCAGGGATTCAGTATTCGATGGTCCATCTTCCACTAACCTTTCCAGCATAAAATTGGGTCAAGTTAAAAAAAAAGTTATTTTTTTACCTGAGAAGCCTCTTCCATAATCAAGGGTTTCATAATTTGATTCACATCCAGGTAAGTGTCATTTACATTTTCATCACACTCAACGACTGAAGGGAGGGTGGATGCAAGACGAAATCCTTTTTTGATGGTAGACGATAGAAATTGGCTAAAAAACAGTAATATAAAAGCAAGTGCAGGCACATTAATCCACACATGTTTTTAAATTGCCTTCAGAAATATCTTTATTTGAAAAGAAGGGTTTGTCAAAACAATGTATATTTCTTTTATTTCATAAACCTAATAGGGTAGGAAGAGTACCTAAATAATATGTATGTTATGCACCATTCCTGCCTTAATACCACATACACAGACAAACAGAATCTACTCCCTCTCAGCCATCATCTTGCTCCCAAATAAATTAAACCCATTTTGCAAAATTATAGACATCAGGAATAAAGGACTTCTTTGGCATCTGGAAAAAATGCATATAAAAGGATTTAAACAAATGGAGGCAGAAAGAAACTGTGCTTTCCTTTCTAAAGGATGAAGTTTTACTTTTTCAGATAAAATAGGTTTCCATGGATACCAGACAACTAAAAACCAGTGGTAAACCAGGGTAATTTGTATATGGCCCAATCTTACATCCACTGATATAAAAATGAGCTTTGTCTTTGACTTCACTGGGAGTAAAAGCATACTATAAATGACTGTTAGAAACAAATCATTTGATTACTTATTTTATGAGCTATCCACACTAAATCAAAACAATTATATATAAATGTCTAACGATAGTATGACAGTAAGAAAATACAGAGTAAAGTGCAAACTTGCTTTCTTAAAAGAGAACTGAATGTCTAATACTTAAGCAACAACACTAGCAAAATTATCTTCTCTTAAGGAATGTTTTAATATTTATATTATTTATTAGAACAACAGTAGGAAATTAAAAATAGTTGTGGTCCCAATTGTGAGTCTAACATCGTTTAAGCAGCTTACATTATTTAAACAGCTCTATTACTTTAGTAAAATGTTCATTTTCACTGTATATTTTTGGTTACTACCTGTTAATTAAATCACAGGAGATTAAATTAGATGATTGTCATGGAAACCTAACAGATTAAGTATGTCATCTTTGACAGAGTAAAACAGACCAGGAAGCAATTTGTTAAATTTGAAAAACATACCATAGAGTAGGTTATATGTCTATTACAACATTTTATTTATAAATATTACTTCACTTATTATCTGATACTGCCTTTTTGTTTAGGCTACTACTCCAGCTATATTTTTTAGAAAAAATTGCTAAAGACATTGAAAAATAAGACATGCAGTTGCCCTAGTTTACCATCTGTAGGCATGTGTAGATGAAATGGGGGCCCTAAATTGAAGCGGTGGGTTTTTAAACTCACCACTTCAATTTAGGGCCCTTAAAGCCCCTGTGTTGTGCACACACCCTGCACTTATCTGCCTCTCTAGCAGTGGGGAAGGGAGGGCAAGCTGCTGGTAGGTAGAGTGTTCCCTGGGCTGTGGGGGAGGGCTGGTACTTCTCTCCGCAGTAGCGGTGGTCTCCCCCAGGAGGCACCCACCCGCAGGCACCCAGCTCAGGCGCTCCCGGGGGACACCGCAGCTGTGGAATTAAGCACTGGGCCCCCGCACAGCTCAGGGAGGCAGGCTCTGGGGAGGGGGAGAAGGGGGTGGAAATCAGGCTTGCCGCTTTTCTTGGGTGGAGCCTGCCTTCCCAGGCTGCTGCAGGGCATCCTGCAGAGCCCCTGAGCTGCATGGAGCCCAGTGCTTTGCTCTATGGCTGTTGGCGCAGCCCCAAGTCATTTAAGGCACATTACGTTGCTGAATTTCCTACAGTGGCTGGAATGTGCAATATGCTGTCGAGGCGTGCAAACACTGACATCATTAAAGCAGTGGAAAAGCATTTAGCCTGCTTTAAAGTGTCGTGCACTCATGCCCCTCATTTCATCTACACACGGCCTATACAATTCTTTTTATACAGAGATAAAACAAAATAGACAAAAATCATTATCCCACTGATATTTCAGAATCATATTTTTAGGCAATTATTAATTTTGTTTTTAAAAAAACACTATTACATGGCCAATTAGCTGATTGAAAAATCCAGCCTGCATCATACCTCGGCGTGATCACTAAAACAGAGTTTTCCAATTACATCACATGGTTGTATTACATCATAACAGAATTGTCAAAGGCTGAGTACACACATTCAAATGATCTGGAAGATTTCTCCAAGGTTTGTTCTCTTGGTAGAAAAACTTACCCAGAAATGCCTGAATAGACATTTATTCTGAACCCTGAAGAGCAGAGAGCTTGCAGTGCTGACACTCCACAGCTAGAGGGCCCTATGAACACGTCAGGGTGCTCTGCAGGCCCAGAGACAGATGACAGCAGTGTACAGAGTAGCTTTGATGGCTGACCCAAACTGCTCAGAGTCAGCCTGTGTCTCCCTGCAGCACTCTGTGGAATTGTAAAGGGCTGTGTTGTAGTCCCTGCTCTGGGGGATGCGAGGGAGCAAAGCACCCTGGGATGCTGGAGGATTACGTAATGGCTGCTCTCAGAAGGGAACATAAACAGACATCGGTTTCTCCTGGGAGTGATTTAACTCTAATTGTTCCCGAGTTATTTTTCTCCTGGAGTGACCATCTTTACTTTGAGAGAAAAATCACGGTTTCTCATGGGAAATACAGACTAGATGAAAGTACTGTCAAGTGGATATGTAACTGGTTAGATCATCACACTCTGTAACCAGTCCTCAACAACTCAATGTCTAGTAGGAAGGAAGTATCAAAAGGAGTTTCCTATGGGTTGGTCCTGGGACCAGTATTGTTTAATATCTTCATTAATGATTTAAATGACGGGATCAAGTGCACACTTAGAACATTTGAAGATGACATCAAGCTGGGTTGAACTGCAAACACTCCATAGATTCATAGATGTTAGGGTCGGAAGGGACCTCAATAGATCATCGAGTCTGACCCCCTGCATAGGCAGGAAAGAG